TTGGCTGTAACACTTGAACAACCACACCTATTCAATGATAGAAAAGTGTCTCGATGAATAGACAGGCATCATGAGAAAGAAAGAGAAAGCATGTTTTCGCCCGAGTTGCTGTCAGATGGTCTCGTCTACAAACTCTGACGACAATGATGGCTATTGTGGGTATTCAACAAACAGCGACCATCAATGATCTTGGGCAAGCATCGGCCATCACGAAACCGCATAACTATACTATATGGAGTGACGTCATGGAAGCATAGCCAAAGAAATTCTTGATGCCTACCATTGTGAAGCAGTTTTCTGCTGACAGTTCAAAAATGAGGAAGTTGAAATACCTTGAATTGATCCCCTTTAGCCTCACTCATGCGAGGGATTGCTTCTAGCCTAGATTCTAGGCAATCTAGTGGCTTCTGGCTTATTTCGAAAACCTTGTTTAACTTCTGCAAAAGTTCCAGGTGGGTTACATGGTCGATCTCGAGCTTCAGTAAAAGGGAGAGACGTTTACCAGAGGAATCGTGAGCGTTCTGATCGGGCATTGAGGAAGGTAATACGGCTGCACTACCCTGGAGTAAATAGGTCCCGCTGACCTACTGAAGAGTTCGCTCGAAGGTAACTGTGACTTTCACCCATGTCTTATAACCAATGAGCCGACGCTTCTAAAGGATATGCCATTTAACATTTTAATGGATGGATCCAGTTGTTAGAATAGGGGTGCAAACTCGGCTTGACCCATTCCTCATCTCCCCAAGGCTTACAAAAGCTGGTGGGAGCTCGAAGAAACTTCTCGCTTTATCTACCCTAATGTCTGTTGTAACCTTAATTTAAGGCCTTGGAACCGATAATCGGCAGTCAGGGGCATTAGAACTTGTTTCTTATCAGGTGGCTTACCAAAATCGGTAACGGGAATTCAAGGCAGAAAATGAAACTGGTAACCTTACCTGTAGTAGAAGGTTGTCTGATTGGGAGTCAATGATTGCCACGCGGATGCTTTTGTTGATTATGCCAAAGTAATAGCTGGATTCGGACCCAAACTCGGGTCAATACATCATCTGCTAGCTCAGTAGGTCCCTAAAAGTCAAAAAGATATTCCGGAGAACGTTCTGAAAGACATTCAGATCAGTGGGCTAACCTGTTTCACTTTAACTTTCGGTCCCGCGCTGTTGTAATATTAAAGGAAATTGCGACCGTCCTGAAACGCCTTTGACTCATCATACGAAAAGGGTGTTTGATGGCGTGTTAGAAGGTTCACTGGATTTCTAGTTGATCGTAGACATCGGCTGAACTCCTTTTCAGTTTACAATAACGTATCACTAAACGTAAGGTCAAGTCGATTGTCAATATGAATTCATATAGTTGTTTCCCAAAGGTACAGCTCACGATCAAAGTGGTTTCTGAATTTTCTCCGTACGATGCTCTGCATGACAAGGACTAGCTGCACTTGTCTAGAAGTGACATGAGCGGAATACACTCAAGTACCCGACATTCACGGAGGAAGTGGTATAGTGCGTATGGGCCAGTGACAAGTGAGACATTAGCACACACATGACCGGGGGATCGACTCCTAGATCAACACGGTCCTGGGCCAACCGAGCCTTCCCTCTTCCAAGTTCGGTCTACTGTTACCGGACTCGTCTATGGAGATAAAATCGCTGACTTGCACTTTGGCTGGTTACCCCAAACCAGAGCATTGGCCAAATGAGCATTCGTTACTCCACTATGATTCTGAATGTTGGGGCGCAACCCAAAAAGGGATTGGGCCAGAACGTTATCCTTCTTTTCTATTTGACATCATTTCAAAACCGTGGAGAGTGGCAGTTGAAGGTATTTGGCATCAATAACGACATGCGAGAACCAGGATCACAGATGGTAACTGGAGCTTACTTTTTCCCACTCCCTTGTACCATTTAATTGATGACGGAGAGATAATAGTCGAGTAGACTGAATTTGGCGGTATGCCAGGGGTCACTGGGCAAGTGCTTCACCGATGTGCCCGTAGCCGACCACTATAACTATCCTTCCTAGGCAGACTACTACAACTCATGATTCTGGACCGACATAGATGCCCGGCACATCTTGAAGGGACAACTGAACCTCGTTAGCTTTACTCTGGCTACTAGGAATTAAACATTCTTCGAGTCGCAATTTTGCGAGCTAATCGGCTCAAAAATAGGTAACAAGTACCTAAAGGGGAACAATCCCACTAGCTCTTCATTACGATTTTTTGGCAGTTCACATTCTACAAAGCGGCATTTTCGAAGAATTGTTAGCCTGGAGAATGGCAAACACATCAACGTTTGCAGGTACAAGCATAAAATAAGATTTATTTAGGTAAAACAATCTCTTTACAATCATATAATTAAGTAAGTATTACTTCTTCTTGTGTTTATCCTTGAAACAAACACAACTACCGGCTGTGCATGGCAATCCAAAGCAGTCCTTGTCGGCGGTTTCATGTGTACAAGTTCTCCTCTCACAGAGGGTAATCAATGCTTGTGGTAGTGATTGGAAACCTGCCCTCATATAGCCCTAAAAAGAAGGCTCACGAGCTCAAGATGATACAACAGGGCGTAGGTCCTTATAGTAGTAGGCTTACCGCAGTACAGTTGCACAGATCGTTGTTCAGGTCACAAGCTCCCCTTAAGCCACCGCACATTGAGTCATCGTCGCACCTGTCAAACCAGTGAATAAAAATAAACAAATTTGTAGAGTGAACAGTAAAATAGGAATAAAAATAATACTAATGAGCAAAAAATCGATAAAATCAATCAATTCATCGCTATGCTTTAGTGTGCTGGCCCGTACCTAGCTAGATCGATGCATTCCATACAATTGCATGTGCCTACAAATAATCCTGCACATGCACCGTTCGGACAGTCAGCGTCACTGTAGCACATTTTCGTAGGAAAACACTGAAAAATTAATTTTCACCCTATTCGCCCCTTATTTTTTGAAGGAAATAGCTCACTTTATCGCTGGCCGACTTCTTGGTCGCTGATTTGGTGTCCTTCTTGGCGGGACCACAATAAACTGAAAAGAATACGAATGAAAAGTAAGCAGGCAAGGATTTTTCTATGACAAGAAGCTTACTGGTAGTAGCAACGATTGTGAGTAAAAGTAGCGATCGCATGGCAGACGGACCAGTCAAACGTCGGTGTTTGTTAGAAGGATTCAAGGTCTGCCAATCGAACGATTATATATACCCTGTAGAGCAGTCATGGAATGTTCCAGACGTCAAGATCAAAGGGTGCCAGTAATATTTTCCACCATAATTTAGCACTTTTTTAATTTTTCGATTTAATTTTTCAACATCATTGTTAGATTATTCCTAGCTGAAAAATAGTGTCCTTTGGATCAGCTTTTACCAACGGACAAGACTACAAAGTAATCACTAGATCTATGAAGTACACTGCACCTATCTGGGTACAGTGTACCTACCTATCAAAGGTACAGTGTACTTCATAGATGCTATCCCAGGGCAGTGATCTCATACATAGATTATTTGTGGGTGCGATGCAGATCAACGATGAAGTTTCACCTTCTAAACTACCTTTACCTACTCTAGATGTTACCTAGTCGCCAAGAGAAAGTCAATAAGCAACGAAGTGTCCCCAGTGAAGAACTTATCCGCCAAAATATGGATGGGAGCTGGAGTAAAATCTTTTGTACGAAAAATATGTAGGGATTAAGGTAACACGATGCTAAATTTACCAGTTCTTTTGCACCGCTCCCTACAACATGAGCATTGTTGCTGCACAAAAGGGCTTTCATGACTTCTTAGCAAAAATTTCAGCCTTTCCTCACTGGTTTTCGATTTGCCCCGTGCATTTCCCATCTGAAAAGAACTCCGTTGTGAGCAATTGTTGAGGGCAATTTTCTCATTCTTGCAGCATTACCCAAAAACCAATTCAATTCTCCTCCAGTTAAGGGTGAAGTGAAGACTGTATTCACTGCCAACCAGGCTTTCAAGGTGGGATGCTTCAACGTTTCGAGTCTGAATCGTTGTTCCATCCAATCAACCTCTTCTTAGTAGGAGAACAAAACTAAGGAGAAAGATGACAGAATTGAAAACAGGTCAAGTGATACGGGGAACTAAGTTCTAGGCAAAAAGAGAAAATTGAAGGTTTCTCATCTTATAGCCACCCTCTGGTAGACTTCTTAGAGTTTCTTGAGTGTTCCCTAAAAAGCCATCAAAAATGGATGGCCTTTGAACAAACCACGTGCCAATACCTCCAAACACTCCATGTAGAGATTCCCGACATCCATCTTTTATNCCCCCCATATTCATAATTTTGATTTCAGAGCATTACCTTTTGGTTTCATTCGAACGAGTTTGGAAAAGATGAAGATGACAGATTTGATAAGGTTGTGTTCAACCAAGCAGCTAAACCCCGTATCAACGACAGTCTCTCACCACTTGAACTATCACCCCACGGCTTGAGACCTTCACACTTCCACAAAGCTCTCGCGCGGGTCTAGAAATCGCGATGATTGCGAAAATGCGAACCCCAGCACAAGTAATCAGGTACCTTCGGGCAGACAAACAGCCAAATAATCGAGGCATTACGTTGAGACCATTGTAAGGCTGGCATTGGAGACAAGTTGGAGAAAAATATTTATAAATCATATGGATTTGTAAAAATAATGCAATCACAGTCATATACGTAACTAAAGCGACATCTTGAAGGGTTGGTTCTTAACATTGACATTTGCCGAAATGACATGGTAATCCAAAGCATCTCTCATCATGATCCTTATAGGTACAAGTTTTCTGGTTGCAAAGGCCATGAAGAGCGTCCACGTAGAATGGAAAGCCAGCTTTTTTGAATCCCTGAACATCTAATGATTATCCTACAGCAGGCCCAGGAATAAGCGGCGAACGGGGCTTGCCGCGAACGGATGCGAAGCGGTCAACAAATTCAGTGCATCGAATAAACTTACCGCTAAGCAATCACACGTCCTTGTCGTCTGATTACAGGCTCCTTTCAAGCCACCACATGCGGCATCGCTCTCACACCTGAAAGACTTCTGCATCAACGTACTTCTTGAAGGCACAATTCACGTTAAAAACGGTTTCTGAGATACCCCCACAGGATAAATTTGAGGCCCCCGTGTATACCATTTCTGACACTATTAGGTCGGGAAACAGCCTAGCTAGGGAGTTATAAAGCCTCAAAGATTGGCCCGTGTGTATCCTTGGACGAGTTTCACCGGTATTGTAGAGTCTGCACCGATCACAAGGGAACCCATGTACGAAACTCAAACAACTTGTCATGACCCATAGTGACAGTGAGAGAAAGTTCTGTGCAGTTCTGGCTTGATGTAGTCAGCTCTTTGCGCAATTGCAATAAGTGAAATCTCGTCCGAATGCCCCTTCCATGTTAGTTCCGACATGGCAATCTCGTCCAATCTCCATTTTGCCTACTTTTGAAAAGCCATATTTTTTTCGGGATCGGCTACTTCTCTCGCTTTCTTCACTACCATTGAACTATTCCCAACTGTATTATTCAATGCTTCTGTGCCACACAGGTTTTTTAATGGTGAGTTTTTATTCGCCTAACCTTTCGACCAACTCGTCGCTTTTAGGCCTTCGAAAACGACGAGTTCGTCGAAATGTCAGGCGAATAGAAATTCTACCATTGAAAAATCTGTGTGGCACAGAAGCATTGAATAATATTAGTACCGATGCCCAGGTTTTAAGAGAGGCGAATATGGAAGTTATTTCCAACTGTATTTCTGCTTTTCAAATAAAAACGGGTACCTTGAAATCATCGTGAACTGTGCCTTTAAAGAATGGAAAGCTTGAGAGTTGACTGGAGAAATCAAAAATACGGTATTGAATGACAGGAAATGCGATGGATGGAAAACTTACAGCCAAAGATCGAGACAAGCATTGCAATTACAGGTGCCCACAAATATACCGAGGCATTTACCACCATGACAATCACTATCACGATAGCACAACTCCCACTCTTCACATTTACTCTGAAACGAGCAGATTAGAACTTTGTCCGACAAGCAGAATACCATGCCTCTCCTCAGTCTAACTCAAGACATACACAAGTGATTTGAAAAAAATCCGTCACTAAAGATCCCTGTTAATTAGGCTATCCTTCAAATCTTGCTTCCGAAAAATCCGGATTCTCAAACTTCAGGGTCAAATCATATACTTTCTTTCGTCAAATGGCCTTCATCTATAACTTTTGAAAATTTCTTTGGATACTTATATTGGTTGAAACTAATTTTTTTCATGAAGGCTTCGACATAGTGTATTTAAAGTCAAAAAATAAAATAAAATGAACAGTAAAGTCACTTATACATAGAAGGTAAAAGTTGTCAAAACTCAGAAAAGAATGGAAACCAACGGCGTTTGGCACCTCGAGGGCTCTGAACTCTTCAGAAGCTTGTGGCTTTGCGAGCGTACTTTCTGCTGGTTCGACAACTTCGGAAATTTCCTCTCCTAAATACAAATTCCACATTCTTTTCCAATTTTCTATTCATTGCTGTCTTTATTCACAGATATTTACGAGACTGGATTGGAGACTTCGTTGAGGTCATACTACACTTCGGAAGCCCACCCTCGAGTTGCACGCTCCGACTCTTAAAGGCACCGTTCACGATAAAAAAGTTATTGAGTTCTTACCTTATTAATACTCAGCGGC